TTATTCTAACTGATGTTTCTACTTATATTACTTTTAATTATAATTTCTACCAGTAGCATATTGGCTAGAAATGCTTAACTATCATTTCCACAGTTTCTATAAAGTAAAATATATAATAAAATACCAATTCCTGTATGCCTTGATATAGCCTGAGTCTTGTGCCAGTTTGGACATAAATAAGATTTTCAATTATTAGTATGTGCACCTGAAATGTAACTTCCATACTTTTCGCTACAGAACTCATCAAACACTATACCTCATTAGGCCATCAGAAAGATCTTCTTAAAATTCATTGCCTGCTATTAGTTAATTTGCAGAACATTTTGGAAATGTAATTAACTAGTACTGAAACGACATTTTAAAATCTATTACAAAATCTTGCTGGGAATTGTTTCCCAAAGATCACATTTGTAATAAAGCCATACAAATATTCATAAATAGTACCAACTTCAGGTTTTAGCTATAAGTTTAATAATAAAATGGTCTAAAACAATTGATGCCCATCTTTCTTATTTTAGTCAGGCAATGGAGAAGATAACAGAGATTATTTTCATGTTTTAATGTGCATACTTACTTGACTATAATCTACCTATAAGATTTTTAATAGAATAAATACAAATCAGGACAAATTGAATTACATGGGATTTATGCATTTCATTATCCAATTTGTAAATAAGAAACAACTTTGAAAAATGAATTTAATATTGTAAAGTTACATTATCATTTGATGTTTGTAAAATGTATGTCATTTGTACATATTCTTATGTTATGCTTCATTCTACAGCTTAACCAGAAAAACCACTAATGAAAATTATCTAAATAATGGGGTCTGAAAAATGTCTTGGAGGTTAAAAGCACATACTGCTCTTACAGAAGACTCAAGTTTGATTCTCAGAAGCCATATTGGGTGGCTCACATAATCCTGTAACTCCACCTTCATGGGATCCAGTGTCTGCATGTATCTGTAATCATATGAATGTACCTTTGCAGGCACACACCACCACCACCACCACCACACATGCATACATATACAGTTAAAAATAAATAAACCTTAAAAATAAAATTACCCTTGGGCTGGAGAGATGGCTCAGAGGTTAAGAGCACTGACTGCTCTTCCAGAGTTCCTGAGTTCAATTCCCAGCAACAACATGGTGGCTCACAACCAACCATAATGAGATCTGGTGCCCTCTTCTGACCTGCAGGTGTATATGCAGACATAACACTGCATACATAATAAATAAATAAATAATTCTTTGAAAAAATTTTTAAAAAATTAAAAAATAAAATTACCCAACAAAGCATGGCATATCAAGTTGAGGCAGGACCAAGCTCCCCACCCCCCTGCATCAAGGCTGAGCAAGTCATCCCACCATAGGGAACAGGTTCCAAAAAGCAATGTCAGCAAGTAGTGCTATGAATTGCCTCTTAGAACTGCTTTCATTGTCTCGCTTAAGTTTGGGTATGTTGTGGGTTCATTTTATTCACATCCATTGTATATCATATATTTAATATGGTTATGTCAAAGGAAAAGTCCACCAAGCTGACATTTCAATTCTTAACATCTATGCATGAAGCACAAGGGCACCAAACTTCATAAAAGAAACAAGACTACAGCTTTATTCACATGTTGGCATTCACTTAATGATAGTGGGTGACTTTAGCACCCTACACTTACTAATAGACAGGTCATCTAGATAAAAACTAAACAGAGAAATGTTAAAACTGACTGAAATCATAAACCAAATGGATTTAACATATATGTATAGAACATTTCATCACAAGCAAAGGAATATACCTTCGTTTCAGCAGTTCATGGAACTTTTTCCAAGATTGGCCACATACTTGTACAAAAAGCAAGTCTCAACAGATACAAGGAAATTGAAATAACCCCCTGCATCCTATCAGACCACCACGGATTAAAGCTGAATATCAACAACAGAAAAAACAAAGCTTACAAACTCATGGAAATTGGATAACTCTCTATTGAATGAAAAAATGGGTAAAGTCAGAAATTAGGAAAGAAATTAAAGATGTTCCACAATTGAATGAATATGAAACCATAGCATACCCAAACTTTTTGGAGACAATGAAGGAGGCTTCAAGAGGCAATTCACAACACTGTGTCTATATAAAAAATTATAAATATCTCATTTGAATAACTTAACAGCACACCTGAATGATCTAGAACAAAAAGATAAAAAAGAAATCATGTCCAAATGGAATAGATGGCAGGAGATAATGAAACTCATGACTGAAATCAGTAAAATAGAAATAAACAAACAATACAAAAAAATTAATGAAACAAAGGGTTGGTTCTTTGAAAAAAATTGCTAATATTGACAAACCTTATCTAAATTAAAAGCATAGAGAGAATATCCAAATTACCAAAATTAGAGTTGAAAAGGAGGACATAAAAGACACCGAGGAAGCCGGGCGGTGGTGGCGCACGCCTTTAATCCCAGCACTTGGGAGGCAGAGCCAGGCGGATCTCTGTGAGTTCGAGGCCAGCCTGGGCTACCAAGTGAGCTCCAGGAAAGGCGCAAAGCTACGCGGAGAAACCCTGTCTCGAAAAACCAAAAAAAAAAAAAAAAAAAAAAAAAGACACCGAGGAAATCTAGAAAATCATAAGAACATACTTTAAAAATCTATAGTTCACCAATTAGAAAGTCTAAAATAAATGAATAATTTTCTCAATACATACCACTTACCAAAGTTAAATCAAGATCAGATAAACTGATCTCTAACTCCTAATGAAATAGAAGCATTGATAAAAGTCTACAAAAAAAAGCCCATGACCAAAGGGTTTTAGTGCAGAATTCTACCATATTTTCAAAAAAGATTTAATGCTAATAATACTCAAATTATTCCACAAAATGGAAACATAAGGAACATTGTCCAATTGATTTTATGAAGCCACAGTTACCCTGATACCTAAACCATATAAAGACTCAACAAAGGTAATTACACACCAATTTCTCTATAAACATGCAAAAATTCTCAATAAAATACTTGCAAATTGAATCCAAGAACAAATCAAAAAGATCATCCACCATGATCAAGAAGGCTTCATCCTAGACATTCAGGGATGGTTCAACATACATAAATTGGTATATGTAATCCACCATTAAAAATAGACTGAAGGACCAAAAAACACATAATCATCTCATTAGATAAAGAAAAGACCTCTGACAAAAGTCCAGCACCCCTTCATGATAAAAGTCCTGAAGAGACTAGGGATATAAGGAGCAAAGAATTATAAGCAACTACAAAATGAAATGCTGAGAGCAGGGGAAATAGTCTTCCCTAGGGAAGAGCACACCAATTGTATTTCTAATAACAAATTATCAGCCCTGAAATCATACACTCAAGTAACATTATACAGACTGAGCTGGTGTATTTAGGAATCTATAGGTATGCACATTTACATTTAATGTAAAGGAGGCCATGCATTTTAAAGAGAGCAAAGGCATGTGTATAAGAGGGTTTAAAGGAAGGAAAAGGATAGGGGAAATGATGTAATTATATTTTAATACCAAACAGTAAAAGAAATAAATTTTTAAGTTTGGTATGTTTGGAGGTAATCATGATTACTTAGGGAAAACAAGATCTTCAACACTTAAGATTTAATTTTTTTCTCCAATTCAGAAATGATTATTTAAAGACTATTTATTAAGTTACTTTTGATTGTTAAAATCCTCTACGAAAAGAAACTTTCTGATGAAAGCTGAGAGCAGCATAACTTCAGGGATATAAGTATTTAGAGAGAAATTTGAAAACATGTCCATTTAGCAAAACATCAGTGGGCTCTCCCAAGATCCTGTGGCCACAGCCGATTTAGAGTGTAAGAACAGTATAAAGCATAAATTTGATTTCCATTACATTTCACTTTATGGCTGATTTTTGAAAATTGCTATCCTGTAATATACATTGGATTAGTCTACCTCATAAACATTTTCTTATGTACTCATTATTTGAGAGTATTTATACATTACCTCTCTTAAAAAATTACAAGCATGTTTTTGTTTATTATAATTGATTCTGATTTGTAAGATCTTAACTAAAAAGTCTATGGTTTTGAGTCTTAGAAGTTAAAACACTCTCGTATGTTTTTATTTTCTGTTGGTTGTTTTTCTATCTGATGTCAAATTGTGTCTGTGTGTGCAAATTTTAACTCAACATTACTCATTCCATGAAGAATGAGCCTCAAGTTCAACAGAGAAATTATTGCAATTGTGAGTGATAATTGTTTAGTGAAGTATATGGTAGCTAATTCTCCACAAGTGAAAGTAACTCCATGCCATATTTGAAAGAGTTAAATACGTAAGAGGTTATAACATTTTTCTTGGCCTTTGCTAATTGACTTACTTGATGAACACAAGTTTCACTCTTTCCCAATTCCATTAGGAAGAATGCATTCTTTTTGTTCCTAATTCTATGTGGAGCTATTAGAGTCTTGAACAATGAGGCCCCCTTGTTCTATCATTACTGTGGTTTTGGAAAGCCTGCTGTTTGTTTGCACTCCTAGGAAAACATGAGAAATAAAAGCCAAAAAGAACAATGACTTTCACATAAGTAAGCACCATTGTTTTGATGACTTTAATCCTGAATAAAACACATAAAATATATGTCTAAAGGTTTATTTTGTTCTAGTTGTATATATACATACAATCTAATTAAAAGCCACATGAATATAGTGGGGGAATTATAGACACCATTTATTTCAAGAATGAAAATTGTGTATAGAATAGAGTTCTGCCCAGAACAAATGTGCTAATTATAAAAAAAATCATTAATTGCTGTAATAATGAGTAACCAAATAAAAGCTTTCTAACCAATTTTAGATAGAAGGGATTAATTAAAGTTTAGATTTCAATTACATTTTAGGGTGACATTTTCTTTAAATTATTGGTAATGCTGTTTCTGGTATTTGAAAGACTTCCTTTATTGCATTTTATCTCTAAAACTTTAAAAATCTACTTACTCTCACATACTGCTTTCAGAACATCACAGAATAGCATACTTGGACAAAGGAAGCTGGATCCTTGGAAACATCAATCAAACTGGCTACTTTAGAGTCAACTATGACCTAAGGAACTGGAGATTACTGATTGATCAATTAATCAGGAACCACGAGGTACATCCTTGATCTATGTATTGGCAATCTGTTTTGAAGTGTGAACACCTGTCACTTTAGTGATCAGAATTACCACTCCCCCATCCTTTCTTTTTTCTAACTGGCCTCATAGGTACTGTCCGTCAGTAACCGTGCTGGCTTGATTGATGATGCCTTCAGCCTGGCCAGGTATGTTTTACTCTGGATCTTCACAAGAAAACACATGCCTGTAAGATGTCCGCATTAATTTAAATTATATATTATGTATTTGTATGTGTACATACATTTCTTTCTTATGATATTTCTGTTTGTATCTGATTTATATTTAGTGCCCCAGACTCTAAATCAATAATAGCCATGGGATATTTCCAAGACAGAAGCTTTATCAATCTCACTGCAGGTTCAGTTAAACACTCCCAAGATTTGTGTAATCTCTTCATTAATGGACTCTATACACAATGACCATTGGGCCACATTCTAACTTTTGATAGAAAACATCTTCAAGCATTAGCAATAGTATTCCTCACAAATACAAGGCTCTTTTTAATTTAAAAGGTATGTTAGAATATTATTCACTATGAAAAGTTTATGCTGCAAGACAGAAACAAATATTTTACAGCATATCAATCATTTTTTCAAAAGATTGTGATGGATTTAATTATAATAATATTAAGTTACTTTCATAATTTGATTTATAATGTGAAAGTGAGTTATTTCCCTCAGTGGTCATCAAATGAAAGAATGTTGATTGAGATACTTTCTAAATTTGAATACAGCATAGTAAAATGGACCCCATCCTTTAATGCTTTACACTTTTTCATATTTAGGCAGTTTTATTTTATTTAATAATCTATTTTTACAAGCTTCAGATTGTGATATGGAGATCTGTCTCTATTTTAATTTAACATAGTTTGTTACATTTTTCCTATTTGTGTGAATCTAATTGCTTTTGTTTGTGCAAATGTGAACACAAGACTTGAGTTAGTAATAGGTTTTGTTCATTCATGATATCTGAAACTGCTTTTATAGTTTTTTTTCCCCTCGAAACAGGGTTTATCTGTGTAGCTTTTGTCTTTCCTGGAACTCACTCGGTAGCCCAGGCTGGCCTCGAACTCACAGAGATCTGCCTGCCTTTGCCTCCTGAGTGCTGGGATTAAAGGCATGTGCCACCACCACCCAGCCTGCTTTTATAGTTTGTGTGCTCAATCAAATCTCAATTCTCTTACATATGTTAAAAAATTCCCCCATTCTCTGGGACCAGGACTTATCCTGGGTACGTGAACTGGCCTTTTAGAGCACATTCCCTATGGTTTGATGGCTTACTCAGCCTTGATGCAGAGTGGAGGGGTTAGGCCCATCCCCAACATGGCATGACAGCCTGTATTGACTACCCAAGGGAGGCTTATCCTCTATGAGGAGGGGATGGGGGTGGGATGCAGGTATGGGGGAAGCAGGAAAAGAGGAGGGAGGGGGAACAAGGGTTGGTATGTAAAAGGAAATAAAAAAAAATTAATAAAAAAGGGAAAAATAATACTCCATTCTCTGTGGCATTCTAATCCATCAAAACGGATGAGCTTACATGAAGAGCACTTGATAATTATAAAATTTCAGTTCTGCAACCAACTAAGGAGATTGTTGTTGTTGTTGTTGCTGCTGCTGCTGCTGCTGGTGGTGGTGGTGGTGGTGGTGGTGTGTGTGTGTGTGTGAACAAGCAATGTCCAAAAGGAAGTTTACAGGACAAATTCAAGATACTGTTATATTGACATAGAATACAAAAAGCAACCAACTCTGACCTTCCCCTTAGCTGTTACCACAAAGGAGCACAGGGCAAACACTAATTGCCTTTCTTTTTGGCAAGCTATGAGGCGGCAAGCCACGCTGCAGACAGAACCCTGCTACTCACTGAGAATACCCCAGGATGAGTTTCTACAAGGAAGTTTCTATAAAGATCAGACTCATTAAAACTCTCTGGGTCACAAAAGATTGCCACAGAAGCCTGGTTACCTGAGTTTGAGCATCAGAACTTACAGTGGAGAAAGAAAACTGAATTGTGAAATTGTCCTCTGCCCTCCAAATGTGAATGCCATGGTCCATGTCCACTTGAATTCACACAAACACCTCATCTCACACACAAACAAACAAATAACAATTGTGGTGGTAATCTAATTATACTGAAATGTGATTTTGATTGTATGTTAATAAATAAAGTTGTCCGGGAGTCAGAGCTATTAGAGCCATAGCAAAAGTGTGGCGGTGGTGGCACACGCCTTTAATCCCAGAAAGCCAGCCTTTAATCCCAGGGAGTGGTGGTAGAAAGCAAAAAGATATATAAGGCGTGAGGACCAGAAACTAGAAGCATTTGGCTGGTTAAGCTTTCAGGCTTTGGAGCAACACAGTTCAGCTGAGAGCTATTGGGATGAGGACACAGAAGCTTCCAGTCTGAGGAAACAGGACCAGCTGAGGAACTGGTGAGGTGAGATAGCTGTGGCTTGTTCTGTCTCTTTAAATAGACTAACAGACAGGAAATAGGGCCCTCATTCGGGAAGCTGGGACACCGCAGGCAGAAGGGTGAGATTTTGGCTCTGAGCTCTGACCTCTCGGCTTTCTCTTTTGCATTATTTCTGTGTTTCTTATTTAATAAAATGGTTGGTTACATCTATAAACAATAATAAATAAAAATTTAAAAACCATTAGTTAATTAGTATTAGACTAAGCCGTTAATTGAGCAAAGGTAAGCGAGGGCCCTTCCATGTTGTTACACCATCTTATTATGGAACACTTAGAGCAGTGGAGATGGACAAAGACCTATGGAGATAGTGATATATGAAGACAATGGCTAAGATATATAGTTTACTCTGCAGAATACCATGAAGACCTTGAAGAAAATATGAGGTTTACAAAAATTATGTTTACACAAAAATTTAGAGAGTTCACTAAATCATGTTTACTAAATCACAAGAGAGTATGTTTATGATTACAGTAATACTTCATTCAGACAAAAGCAGAAAAATGTTGAACACAAAGAATAAAGGGTTAAAAGCAAAAACCACAACAAAAACCCTAGTACTAGCAACTATTATTAAATGTGCAATATGTGCAGACATCTCTCTGTTTTCATAAAATATAGGCATCTCTCTCTTTAATGGCAGAGTTACTTTAGGACCCTCCACAGACACCAGAATCTGTGAATGTTCATAGTCTTACGTAAAGTGACATACTACTTATATATACCTATGCACATTATTAAATAATCTCTAAATTCTTAATTACTTAGTATCTAATACAATACAAATACTATATAAACAGTTGTATAGGAAATAATGACCAGGAAAGTATATTTCTGAAGATCTTAAAACTTTGAAATATATAATCTTATTACTACTTATGAAAAAGATGAAAAAACCCCGAAGTATCATTGACTTCATATTTACAGTCTGTATTACTGTTTAAAAATTGATTCATTACTAGTGAAAGTCAATAAATAGAAAATAAGTTATATTTCTGCAAATGCACTCTATATACTTGGACTTAAGTATTAAGTATTTTGTGTATTCAAATAAATATTTCATCTTTTGAAAATTCTATTTATATAAATGTCTTTTAAGCACAAGGGTTAGTCGGGTATTGCTTGTCCTCTTTGTAAATTACAAGTGGGAAAGAGCACATTTTCATCAAACACAAGCAAGTTACAAACAAAGCTGAGGTTAATGACCTCTAAATCTTAGTGATTGCATCCAATGACTGCGCTTTCCATGGCTATTTCCTAGTGGAGACTTGGGTGTTAAGGGAGATTATTAGGTCACGTAGTTGTGGATGTATAGATTCTAAGTGTATATGTATAGGGAAGGTAGTTGTTGAATATCCAACAATGATACAACAGAGTACATGAGTTCAAGGCCAAGGGAGGTTGTCTACTTTACGGAATTCCTATCTATAACATCCTCCTTATTTCTTTGGATTATTCTTCACTTAAACAGAAAACAACAAGAAGAAATATTTAGTCTCTGGCCTTGAGTACAGGCTTGTCCATCCTTCCATGGAAACTAAATATGGCTTCTTGGTCCAAATTATGTTTCCACTTCCTGATAGTTCTTCATAATTCAGAGGAGAGTGCTTGATGTCATCTTGGTGGTGACCATCACTTCATTTAATGTCTAGTACAGAATTATGCTAATATTTATGTAATCATAACTTTTCCAGGCTAGAGACTCTCACGTCACTATTTTGGTGAAATCAACTAAAATCTTTTACTAAGTTTTGGTAGTTTTTAGCTGTGTAAATATAGAGCCAGTGTTGTGTTGCATGGTGGTAATCTCAGAATTGGAGAGGTTGAAGCAGGAGGATTGCTATGAGTTCCAGGCCATCCTGGGATACAGAGTAAACATGTCCCAAACATTGAGACTAGCAACAAGCAAAACAAAAGGCATGTACTTGTGCCTTCTAATGATAAATTATTTAGACCAACAAAGAAAAAGTGTTAAGACTTAACTTCACCACATCTACCACCTACCATTGCTTTATCTTCCTCAGAGGTAACATTTGGAATATTTGGTATATATTATACCAGACATTTTTTCCCCTCCAAACCTTTATGCTGTTAAATTGTAAAATCATGAAGAGAGATTTATTCTGTTCTCTGAGTCATTTATAAAAATAAATCTTGGGAGCTTTCCATCATTTCTGTATTCTTCTTATGATGTAACCTATGGCAAGTACCCTGGACTAGTTTTCTGTTGTGGAATTTGAGGATAGAAAAGGATAATATATTTGAAAACAATCAAGGGAGTGTATTTCGAAGTTTTTCTCAGTCAGATTCTCTCAACCGTATGGAAGGTACAATTCCCTCAAATTCTGCATTAAAGCAAATGTGTAACTGTTTAAAACTTGACAACTTGCTAGCTCAAACTATTATTTAGAAATTATTAAATTACAGTCAAAAGAATATTTTTATATGTTTACTATCTGTATCTTTCTTAATCTGAATTATCACTTAGTTAAAGGCAGAAATTACAAACTTAATAGAAAGCAAGCAAGTATTTTTGCTTCTACACTTTGTACAGTTTGGGGGTATTATTCCATTCAGTAGCATCTGTTTGCATGTTTTCTGTATCACTTCACTGACGTTTTGTATTTCATGGTGTTTCATCATTAAAAGGTCTTTCATTTATACATCAAGTAAGATATTCTGG